GTGAGGTAGGTTGGGCTGAGAGTCTATGACTGGCCCAAAGTCACCCAATTGGCTCCATGGCCAAGCGGGGACTCAAACCCGGATTGCCTGAGTCCCAGTCCCATGCTCTTATCTACTACACCACACTGGCAGCCGTTTTGTCATGGCTGCTGAAACCCTTCCTCACTGGGGCTCCTCATGCTTGGGATGCTGACTCCTTCACAAGCCTGCCTTGTATAGTTTTGGTGGGTGGGCGCAATTGCCGCTTCAGCCAATCTGACTGGAGGGCCTCCTCGGAAAAGAACAGGAGTCTGTGACTGAACTCCTGGTCTGCTCTAGCTTCCAGTGACTGGGAAGCTATGCTAATTGCTAATTTTCCCCTAAGATGTTCTAAGAGTGGAGATGTTCTATTCAGTGAAGAGCACAATATTGAATGGATCACTGGAGGAGACAACAGAAGAAAGGTGGGTGATTTGGATGTTATTTAGAAGGCAAAATCCCTTTGTATGTGATTTAATTCTAAGTAATAACCTGAACTTGCAAAGTTGGGATCACCCCATTACTGAGCTTTAGTCTGTGAGCTTTAGTCTGTATAGCCATAGAAGCTTGGTCTCAAACTGAAGCTACTGTATGACCACCTCGCTTATGGAATGCTCCCTGAAGGAAGTGTGCTTGGTGCTTTCGCTGCTCACCTTTCAGCACCAGGTAAAGACTTTAACACATGATTTTAGTAGTCAGATAGTTTTTATTCTTTCACTTTATGGCTGCTTACCTGCTGTGCTGTTCTGTGAATATTCAATTTTATATTTTAGTTTGATTTTATTCTTTGATTCTTTGGCCTAATTGTTCAATTGTATATTGCTTTTATTGCCGTCTGTTCTTGCTTTTATTGCAAGCCACCCAGAGAACCTATTAAGCTATAGGGCAGCATATAAATATGATTGATAAATAAATAAATAAGGGTAAGTAGAATATGCTTTCCAAGACCTGCTGCAATTCTGAATCCAGTATGAATGCACAGATAACACAATGGCAGCTTAGGCAGCAATCCAGATCCTATAGAAGTCAATAAGAAAGCTGCCACTTGAGGATTGCAGTTGTACTCTGCGTATGAGATTTGGATATAGCTTTCCAGGGGAGGTGGTTGAGAGTCTGTCAACAGGGGCATTCAAAGTATACAAAGCATTGGATAATGGACTGCAGTGGTAATACTCCTGCTTTGACACCTGCATGGAGAAGGTTGGCAGAGCCACTCTGATATCTAAGTATAATAATTTTGGCAATTCTTCTTCCTCCATGGGTCAAACAAATGCTATTTTCCTGTCTTCCCCATGCCCCCTCACCCCAAAACACAGCCCTCTTACCCCTGACCGTTCCCATTCTGGAATCGTTGGCCTTGGACTGCAAAAATCCTTCTGTAGCTGGGAGAAAGAAATCTTATCACCTTTTAATTTACTGGGCTGACTCAATGCCAGGACAGCAGTTAGAGTTATTAGAGCAGAGACATGACTGCCGTGTCACAGCATGAACAGAATGGGGGGTCTCTGGTTACACATCCCTCTGCCTCCCCACCAGTAAACCTTTTAGTCGGAGCACTCCAGCTTTAGTTGGTCTTGTCCTATTCCATGAGACGGTCTCAGGAAGGCAGAAGGGAAGGAACTTCCCCTGCAATGCCCAGTTTCCTCATCTGCGAACGCTGGATATGATTGCGGATACCCTGCCCAAAAGGACATTACAATATCAACAGACACTGGTGAGTGTATATTGATGTTCCTTGCTTTTCCCTTTCACCTCCTAGGGCACCTGCTGGAAAGTCATTAGATAAGGAGTGTTTAATCTGTCACATGAATAAGGGATTCTTCCATTATCAAACTAATCAAAAGTGTCCATCTTCCTCCCACCCCCACACAAACATGCACACTATGATCTAAGATATATCGAGAGAATTGCAGTTTGATTTTCCTGGAATGGAACATGTAGTTGTCTGGGACAATAAAGGCAAAAATCATGCCATTTAGCTTCCTGAGCTCTGTACTGAAGAAAGGACTATAAAACTGAAGCTGTACTGACTCCATTGCTCCTTGCAATAAAATCTGTAGTGATATTGTTCTGCTTTCGCTTTATTGTGGTGTTGGTAAGGGTTGGCACCTGTGACATACATAACTCTACTGCTTAGACACTTTGGAGGTACATGAGTGTTCTGTTCTGCTAAGCAGATGAGTGTTCAGCTCCTTATTTCTGGATTCAGTTTGTTTCATTTTAGAAGATGCCTTTTTCTAGCATACCAAGCAGGAATTACTGAGCCGTATTACACGTAGGGTCACTCTTAGCTGCTGCTCTGCATTATCACAATTTGTATACACTTACACCAGATAATGAGAGTTCTGTGCCTTCTACTGTACTGAAAATTAAGAATCATTTTTTACTTCTAAATAGCAAATGCCCCATGGAAATGTTGGTTTCCTTTCTTGGTATTGCCCATCACTTCTAGAGATACTGAAAGCCTCAACAAGAAGCAGCAGAGAGCTAGAAAGTTAAAACTTTCATCTCAGTCCTTCCACTTCAGACTAGCTTTAGCTCTCCCAGGTCTTCAGCAAAGATCTGTTGCATAAGAGCTGAGATGCCAGGAACCGATCCTGAGGGGTAATCGAGGTATTGGTAAGAGAAATCCATTTTTGGGGCAGTGGACACGACAAAAAACCCCACTAGACGCCTTCCATTTAGATATTCTGAACATACCCTATGTCCCAGTGCTGTATCCATTCATTTCAATGGTGGCAGGAGATGTGTAAAAATGAGTGAGTCAGCAGCACATGTGAGTAGAGGAGTCTTGCAGACAGTGGCATTCCCATGCCCATAAGTCTTCCATATCATGAAATGTACATGACATGGGAAGTATACTGGAATAAGCAATTCAAATAATTATCACCAATTATATTAAAATAATTAGTGATCTTTCGGGATACTTGGTGCCATAGCCCAAGGAACTTTGATTTAAACTTGTCTTCTTTGTCTCATTTCATCAGACAAAAGAGGCAAGATACTTTTGGCTCGGCTGTAACATGAATGGGATCTGCTGTAATTTTTCACAGTATCGGGGCTGGCCAACCTAACAGACAGTAAAGATGGAGGCTGTCTGGGTTGTGGGTGCCAGGTTGATCTGGAAAATCCCCTAGGGGGAGCACAACTACTTCTACCTGAGACTTCTGGCAATGCAGTCTCCTGCCTCCTCCCGCCCCATCCCCACCCCCATTTCTGCCTATACATTATTCTTGCACTTTACAAGTGAATGGAGTGAAAGTGTCTTCCCTTTACCCCACTCATTTTTATGGCTCAAAATACAGGTGTCTGCAAGCAAGAAAGGGGGTACTGTACCATTCACATACATGTGCATGCACATACACAGAACAAGATCCTGGGAGAATGCAGAGCTATCTGCCATGCTGTTTCTATTTTTGTCGTGGCTGTTTTGATGTGTTTTCACATTTGTTTCACAAATTCGTTAGCCACCCTGAGTACTATTTTTTGTTTCTTTGTTTGGCAGAAAGGCTAAACTATCCGCTTTACATAAATAGACATCCAGGGCAGCTCGAGTTAGCCCTTCTGTATGTAATACATTCTTGTCTCTTTTCTATTTTGGAAATGCCTTCTCAAAATGCTCTGGTGAGCTGTGACTTACACTGGTGCAAAGCAATCTGAACTCATGCAGCCATCTCAGATGCAAAAAGGGTAACACTACTGCCACTTTACATCTACTCCTGGTGCATAAATGCACCTTCTTTTAGTCAGAGCCTCTGCCAACAGTGTGATTTTGTGTGGTTATAGACAACATATAAAGTAAGGCAGAACACTTACATATAAGGGAGACCAGAAAAATGTGAAACACTGGTCTTAAAAATGAGAGGAAAACATAGCTGGATG